AGGACGGGGAACATGTTGAGCAGGAGGGGGAGAACCAGCGGGATGAGGAAACCGGAAAAGAGGGAGGCGGATGCAGAAGGGTGAGGGGGGGGAGGAAAATGATGACATCTGTCCCTCTTTCCCTCCTGCTCTCCTTCCTCACCTCCCTGTCCACACCTCGGGCTTTCTCCAACCCCCTCCTCTGCCTCCACCCTTCTCAGCGTTTTTCCCCCTCTTTCCGCTGCCCCGTATTCTTCCCCCGCGCCTGCATTACCTTCCTTCCCCTCTTTTCCTAGCCATCCATCCATCCATCCATCCATCCATCCATCCATCCATCCATCCATCCATCCATCCTCTCTCTCTCTCTACGATTACACATTGTGACTACTACCCTCCTCTCTCCACGTTTTTGGAATACAAGCATCAAAAGCATACACACAGGAATTCAACTATGTGTATTTCCAATGTTTTTGATTTACGATCCGATTGTTTTTTTTCGGCTTTCAACTGTGCTCTGGTCATTCAGAATGGCGCTCTCGCTTCATCGCGGGCCGCTTTTCTGACTCCGAACCCTTTTTCTTCGTTGTCGCCCCCCCATCCTTCAGTATCCGTCCTCCGCCTTTGCGCTGCAATTCCTGCTTCTGCTGCTGCTATTCGTCCTCGTCTTCCGCCTTCCTCATCCTCCTCCCCATCGCCCTGCTCACCCGCCACCTCCTCCTCCTCCTCCTCCTGCTTCTCCTCCTCCTCCTCCTCCTCCTCCTCCAATGTCAGCAGCTCCCCCTTTCCCGATGACGCACAACACGATGGTTTTTGTTGGTTGGAAGTCCAGGTCAGCTAAGACACGCGTCTGCGGATAGAGGACATATCAGCGCAGTGGGAAAGGATGGGTGGGAAGGACAGGATGTCATAGATGGCGCGGGCGCGCCTCGCTTGCCCTTCTCTCTCTCCCTTCTCTCCTCCCTCTCCCCTCCATCCACCTCTCTCATCACCACTTCTTCCCTCCTGCTCCTGATTCCTGCTTCCTGACGCTGCAAGGTCCTCAAGACGTAGCCCTCCCCCCCGAGGGCCGGTCATATCTGGTGGGGTTGACCAAACTAGAGCGGGGCGACCTCTGGAGCACCGCTCCAGGAGTCGCTGGCTGATGAGGGGAAAAAGGAAAACGTAGTGCGACTTCCTCCAACTCTTCATGAATCCCCCCCCTCCTGTTGGCCGCTGGTGGCCACACTGCTCCAAGTCTGGCATTGTGCTTCGGCAGGTCGGCTAGCCTGATGCTGCTGGCTCGGGCAGCTCTGGCTGCTCTGTTATGCGGCGGACGTACGGTGTGAGGCAGACTCGAGTCTGGTGGCCGCGCGCGGTCTGGGCCCTCCAGGCGCCCTGAGGTTTGGCGGTTTGCCCTCAACCTCCACCTGGGCAGTACTTTTTGCTGGTTCTCTTTGGGGCTTGTCTGACACTGAGGAGGAGGAGGAAGAGGAGGGGGAGGCGGAGGAGGAGGAGGAGGGCCTGTGTTATGTCCTCGGGTTTACTGCTGGGCAGGCCAAGCCGGTGCAGCCGAACCAGAGCACGCGAGTGGCTCTGGGAGGCAAGTGGGCGGTGGGGAGTGGGCATGGACGATCCTGGCGGCTGGGCCTCGCTCGTGCGGCAGCCAAAAAGTGAGAGCGGGCAGCGGCGCGTCGAGCTCCCGCCCGGGTCTTGTGCTGGTCCCCGCCCATCCACCCTGTGACAGAGTGGCGGCGGTAGGCGCATTCGCGCGCGCGGTCACACGCTGACGCTTACGTAACCTCGAACTCCTGTCAGGAGAGGGTCTCTGTAAGCACAGGCAGGTTAAATTGGGCATCGCCGGCAAAGAGGACGGTTGTCTTCGCGCCCGTGATGGACGAGAGAAAAATATGGGGAAGACAGCAGAAGGCGGCCAAGCACCGGCGTTATCGGTTGGCGGCTTGGTCTCGCTCCTGTGGCGCTGACAACGTTAGCGAGCGGCGGCGCATCGATATCCCCACCCGGCCCCGAGCGTATCCACCACCTCCCCCGCAACCAACCTTTGGCGCGTCGGCGAATCGCACGCGCCGTCGGGCGCATCTCGGGGGCGGCAAATAGGGGGGTGTCCAAGAGGGGGGGTGCAAATCATGACCGGCGGCATGTGCGCGGCCCTGCGGGGGGGCCAGGGACGTAATGAAATAAGAGGCGCCATGAAATCTGGGGAAATATCATGGCCCCCGCCATGATCTCCATGCACCCCCTCCTAGTCATCACCCCCCTCTTTCCCGTCCCCGCGCATCGGTGGAAGCCTTCCCCGGGTGTGGGCGCACCGACCCCCGGGACCGCCGCTTCCGTCGCCGCCAGCTTGACCTCCGCCTGGTCCTCTTGGACGCCCGAAATATCCGGGGTAACTCGGGTCCGGGGTAACTCGGGTTTGGGTTCCCGAAAAACGAACCCGAGTTAGCCCTGCCCCGAGTTACCCCTGATGATTCGGGGCTCTGGACGCCCGAATTATCCGGGGTAAGTCGGGTCCGGGGTAACTCGGGTCCGGACTCCCGAAAAACGAACCCGAGTTAGCCCTGACCCGAGTTACCCCTGATGATTCGGGGCTCTGGACGCCCGAATTATCCGGGGTAAGTCGGGTCCGGGGTAACTCGGGTCCGGACTCCCGAAAAACGAACCCGAGTTAGCCCTGACCCGAGTTACCCCGGATGATTCGGGGCTCTGATGCTCTGCGACCGCGGCCCTGTGATCCAGGTCCTCGGCCTGGTGCCCCAAGGCGGGCCCGGCGCAGCCGCTGCTGACGCCGCAGCTGGCGCCGCAGCAGGCGTTCGGGAAGAGGTCGGCGCCGTCCTGCGCGGCGTGGCCGCCGGCGGTGGCGGCGTCGGGGCCGGCGGAGGTGGCCGAACTCGTCGTCCGCGCGGCGTGCTCTGCCCGTCCAGCCGACCCGCCGCGTGCCGCGTGCCGCCGTACCGTCCCGCGGCGGGCCGCCCAGCGTGCCGCCCGGCGTGCCCGTCGGCCAGCCGTGGCCTGCGCAGGGATGCCTCGGCGCCGGGGAGCAGCGACCGAGGAAGAGGCGGTCGGGTCGGGCGGGCGGGACAATCATGTATGATGCGCCATCGAGGTGGGGCGCGAAGATCCTAACGGGCGGGTCGGGTCGGTCGGGCGGGCCCTGACAGGTTGGACGGGTCGAGTCGGGCGGGCGGACCCTAACGGGCGGGTCGGGTCGGGACGGGCGGGCGGGTCGGGTCGGACGGGCGGACCCGAACGGGCGGGTCGGGTCGGAGCAGCGAACGGGTGAGCGCAACGACTGAGGAAGAGGCGCCGAACTCCCAGCACCGGGACCCGAGCTCCTCGAACCTGTCTCAGGACGGCGTCCCTGGAAGTCCCGACCCTTTCCCCGGGACCGGTCTTTCCTCCTGAGTCGTTTTCTGACGGTCCCGAGGCCTGGCGAGGGCCCCCCGGGCCCGGGCCGAAGATAGCCAAAAACCTGCCGCCCTGATGTTTTACGACGCGATCATGTCTGGGTCGACCTCACCACCCACTCCGATAGCCTCCCCCCCCTTCGGCGGCAGCCGACCCGACGTGGGTGCGGTGCAGGGGGTTCGGCGGTGGGGCGGGCTAGCGCCGTCCCGCCTGGTCTGGGCAGGCGTCAGGCCGCTTGGAGCGGGCAGCACCCGTGGCGGCCGGCGGGTGTGGGCCCCGTCGTCGGTGTCGCTGCCTTCGAGAGTGGTGCTGGTCTCGTTGGGGCACAGTCGGACTCGATTGGACAGGACACGCGAGAGGACACGAAAGACCCTTCCGGGGGCCACATTGCCACAGGAATGTAGGAAGCACGGGTCGCGAGACACAGGACACAAGGGTACCCTTGATTTGGCAGGGTCGACCTACTAATCTGGGCCGACTGTACACCCTGCGAAATGCTTAAGAAATCATGGGTTAAGAAATTCATAGTCTCAGAATTAAAGAAAAGCCCAGAATTCCTATCAAAATCTTAGGAATTAAATTGAAACATTAAGAATAATCGAGACTCTGGCCGAAAACTTCAGTTTTCTTGAGCATCGCCTGAGGTGTAGCCTCCCTTCTGGGTGCCGGCAGCCAGACGGGCGAGCTGGGGCGAACACGGCCGGCTCTGGGTGGAGTTTGAGCGTCTGTCTGTGTGCTGGTGTGGGTGCATGCGTCAACGACGTTGGTGTACGGCGGGTTCGTGTCGTGCCGACCCCAGCGTTGGTTTTTGACACCGCGCTGGATCGTTCAACCTTGAACGATCGGCCGTCTCCGCAACGTCCAATCGTTCAACATCGACCGATTCTGGGCCGCCGCCGGCGTTCAACCTTGAACGCCCGCGCTGGGGTCGCGACGAGTCGACACGACGCAGACCTACCGTACACGTGCCGTTCTCGATGCTGGCTGTGATGAGCAGGGCTGTCAGCCAGGATCGCGGCCATGTCCCCAGCCATGCTGCTGCCACTGCGCGCGGCGAAGGCGAGCCTCCTGCATGCCTCGGAGTGCTGGTGAGTCGCACTGGGAAGCCCAGGCCCATCTGGGCCCGTCGTCTCGCCGACCGTGCGGCGTCCCTGGCGCAGGCTGTGTCGCGGGCGCCGCGGCCACTCCTCTGCGAGGGTATGGCGCGGCCGGGCGCCTCGCCTAGCAGTCGCCCGCTGCGGGCCCTCCCGCTCCTGTGTCGAGGGCCAGGCGGGGGAGTCCGAGCCTCCGAGGCGGACAACGGCTCTTCTCCTCTCTTTTTCCTTCTCCTCCGCCTACTCCTTCCCCCCCCCGTCCCGTCTCTCCCTGCCACTCATTCACTCCTCCTCCTCCTCCTACCTCCTCCTCCTCTCCTCCTCCTCCTCCTCCTCCTCCTCCTCCCCTTCCTCCTCCTCCTCCTCCTCCTCCTCCTCCTCCTCCTCCTCCTCCTCCTCCCACGCCTCTTCCTATCACACTTCCCTTCCTCCTTCTCACCTCCTTCATCAACCTCCCTCCTGACCCCTCCCCCGCGCCCAAGATGTTCGCCTGGCGCCCGAAGCCAGCGAACGAGAGGAAGCTGCTCATCTGGGACTGCGCTGGGGACTGCGGCGCCTGGGACCGACATCGTATCAGGACAAGGATGAGGAAGGATGATGGTGATGATGATGATGATGATGATGATGATGAGGAGGAGGAGGAGGAGGAGGAGGAGGGGGGAGGAGGAGGAGAGGAGGAAGAGGGAGAAGACCAATGGGACGAGGAGGAGGAGGAGGAGGAGGAGGAGGAGGAGAAGGAGAGAAGGAGGAGGAGGAGGAGGAGGAGGAGGAGGAGGAGGAGGACGGGGGAAGAGGAGACGACGATCAGCACGACGACGAAGAGGATACGGCGGAGGCTACATGGACAGAACATATCCAACACCTCTGTCCCTCCTTCTCTTCCTTCTCATCCTCGCTCCTCCTCCTCCCTCTCCTCCTCCTCGCCCTCGTCCCTCCTCCTCCTCCTCCTCCTCGATCCTCCTCCTCCCTCCTCTTCCTCTCCTCCTCCTCCTCCTCCTCCTCGCCCTCGTCTCCTCCTCCTCCTCCTCCTCCTCGATCCTCCTCCTCCCTCCTCCTCTTCCTCCTCGTCCTCATCGTCCTCCTCGTCGTCGTCGTCCTCCTCCTCCTCCTCATCCTCCCTCTTTATGCGTCAGGCGATTTTGTACGAAGCTGCTCCAGGCGCTGGAGGCAGCCCACTCCGATTGGCTCACGAGGCCCCCGGATTTGCATCAGAGGAGGCTGTGCTGCAGGCATTCGGTCTTCTCGTCTCTGACCTGCCCCGTGTGCAGGCCCTCGGAGAGTCCATCCGTCGAGGAGGGTCAGAAGAGGACTCTGACCCCGAGTCTGACGGAGGCGACTTGTTCTAGTCACCACGTTTAGCGCAATCCACAACAACCTCCTCCCTCCCTCCCTCCCTCCCTCCCTCCCTCCCTGGGGGGCTGGGAAATGCGCAACTGTCGCATCTTTCGTGGGCACCGGCTCCCTCTCTTCCCTCCTCCTTCTCTTCCTCCTCCTCCTCCTCCTCCGCCTCCTCCGTTCCTCCGTTCCTCCGTTCCTCCCTCCCTCCTCCCGCTCCACCTCCCTCCCCTGGCTCCTGCTGCTCCGTCTCCTCCCTCCTCCCTCCGCCTGCTCCTCCTCCTCCTCCTGCCCTCCTCTCTCCCTCCTAGTTCCTCATCCTCTCCTTCCTCCTTCTCCTTCCTCCTCCCTCTCCTCCTGCTGCTTCTGCTCCTACCCGTCCTCATTATACGCCACCCTCCTTCGAGGCACGAGTCGGGGTGTTCCCAAGGCCCTTAGAGTCTGTAGTGAATCAGGGCTGTTGAATATGAAAGGGCCAGGAGGCCAAACTGCCTGAATCTCCAGTGGGTGTCGCGAGTGCCCGCAAACCTCTGGGGAGTTCTCGCGTGACGCTCACTGGGGTCCAACGGCCCAAGACAGGCCGAAAGGGCCCTGAGAAACCCCCTAGGACGGTCAAAGAGGGCGCCGAGATGGCCCAAGAGCGCTGCAAGAAGCACAAAACGACCTCAAGTCAAGGCTCGGACAGGCAGTGTGCAGAAGTGCGCACCCACCGTCAGATCCCTGGCGCAGACCGGGAACTAACCCAGGAAAGAGTCCTCGAACTTCCTCTGCGAACCTCCTCGTGAACGATCGGGGGGGGAACATCGACCTAGAATCGGCGATACTGAAAAGGCCATGGGACACACAAATAAATACGCACAAATAATAGGATTCTCCATATTTTCCTATATCTCTTGGATTTTGTGAGAATTTTTCTGAGAATCGACAAATAATTGTGTCTGTGTGTCTTTGTCCTTCCTGAGATACATCGCGGATCGGTCAGCGATAGGTCCCCGATAGCGACTCTGCACATTCCTGGGCGGGGTGGGCCACTGGGCCCCTGTCGGAGATGAGTGGGGAATTTAGGTTTCGATGCGTTCCCCTCCCTGAGTCTATCCCCTTCTCACGTTGCCCCTGAACCTCCTCGAGCCTTCTCGAGCCTCCTCCTCCTCCTCCTCCGCGTCCGCCTCCGCCTCCTCTCCTCCGCCTCCTCCTCTTCCTCCTCCCCCTCCTCCTCCCCCTCCTCCTCCTCCTCCTCCTCCTCCTCCTCCTCCTCCTCATCCTCCTCCTCCTCCTTGGCCCGCGAAATTTCGAAACGCCGCCCTCGAACCTCCTCCTCGAGCCTCTTCCGCTAACCTCCTCGAGTCTCCTTCCTCTTCCCCCTCCTTGAGCCTCCCCCTCCCCGCTCTCTGAGAGGCCCCGAGGGCGCCGGCGACGCTGGCGCCCGCGCGGCGGCCGGCGAGGCGAAGGCGCCGCTCTGCCTGGAGCCTCTCGCGGGGGGGCGGTGGGGGCGGGAAGGAGACGAAGGGAGGGAAGGATGACGACGGGGGTCAGGAGGAGGAGGAGGAGGAGGAGGAGGAGGAGGAGGAGAGGAGGAGGAGGAGGAGGAGGAGGAGGAGGAGGAGGAGGAGGAGGAGGGAGGAGGCGAGGAGAGGAGGAGGAGGCGGAGGAGGAGGAGGAGGAGGAGGCGGAGGAGGAGGAGGAGGAGGAGGAGGAGGAGGAGAGGAGGAGGAGGAGGAGGAGGAGGAGGAGGAGGAGGAGGAGGAGGAGGAGGAGGAGGAGGAGGAGGAGGGGAGGACGAGGAGGAAGAGGGGGGGGGAGGAGGGGGAGGAGGCAGGAGGAGACGAGGAGGAGGACGAGGAGGCAGGAGAGGAGGCGGAGGAGGAGGGAGGAGGACGGAGGGGAGGAGGAGGAGGAGGAGAGGAGGAGGAGGAGGAGGAGGAGGAGGAGGAGGAGGAGGAGGAGGAGGAGGAGGGGGAAGGGAGGAGGAGGGGGGGAGGAGGAGGAGGAGGAGGAGGAGGGGAGGAGGAGGAGGAGGAGGAGGAGAGGAGGAGGAGGAGGAGGAGGAGAGGAGGAGGGGAGGAGGAGAGGGGGAGGAGGAGGAGGAGGAGGAGAGAGGAGGAGGAGGAGGAGGAGGAGGAGGAGGAGGAGGAGGAGGGGAGGAGGAGGAGGAGGAGGAGGAGGAGGAGGAGGAGGAGGAGGAGGAGGAGGGAGGAGGAGGGGGAGGAGGGAGGAGGAGGAGGAGGAGGAGGAGGAGGAGGAGGAGGAGGAGGGGTGAGAGAGGAGGAGGGGAGGAGGAGGAGGCGAGCTCGCCCTGAAAAAATCACCCGTCCACCCCCTGGCCCCCGCGCCTGGATCGCCACCCGTGCCCCCCCCCCCTGGCCTTCCGGGCAACCCGGAATTGTCAGCCCCCCGTCTGCCTGCCCTGCCCCCCCGCTATTGCGGGGGCGAGGAGGCCCGCGAAACAATTTTGTAATCGTCCGCCCCAGATTTTTTTGTTGTTTATCGTTTCCCCCCATTACGCCTCGCGCGCCTCGAAATTGCTGCGGAAACCGCAGAGGCGCGTCGCCGAGCAGGCCCAAACGGGGCCCTGCCCCGCGCCTGGGGCGGGGTGCCGCTGCGAAGGCTGGGCCGTGCGTCCGTCGGCGCCGTCAGTGCCGCTGGGCAGGTCGCCGTGATGTCCAGCGAGTCGCCTCCGCGCGGCGTCGCAGTGAAGCGTCTGCCGCGCCCCAGCGCGGAGGCGACGCTCGCGGCGGTGCCACGCGGGTGAGCTAGACGGCACCAGCTCCAGCCCCGCGGCCGCCAGCGCGGGGGCCGTCAGGCCCGAGATTGCACCGCCGCCCGACGAGCACGGGCAGGCGGCTGGTGTCGGGGCGTCCTGGGGAAAGGGGGTGGGCGGAACACGCCCGTGCCTCCCCTCGAGCCCCAACGCCTAGGAGGAGGAGGAGGAGGAGGAGGAGGAGGAGGAGGAGGAGGAGGAGGAGGAGGAGAGGAGGAGGAGGAGGAGGAGGAGGAGGAGATGGAGGAGGAGAGGGAGGAGGAGGAGGAGGAGGAGGAGGAGGAGGAGGAGGAGGAGGAGGAGGAGAGGAGCAGGAGCAGGAGCAGGACGAGGAGGAGGAGGAGAGGAGAAGGAGGAGGAGGAGGAGAAGGGGGAGAAGGAGAAGGATGATGAGGATGAGGATGAGGATGAGGATGAGGATGAGGATGAGGATGATGATGATGATGATGATGATGATGATGATGATGATGATGATGATGATGATGACGATGACGATGATGATGCTGATGGTGCTGATGATGCTGCTGATGCTGATGCTGATGCTGATGCTGATGATGAGGATGAGGATGATGATGAGGATGATGATGACGACGATGACGATGATGATGCTGATGGTGCTGATGATGCTGTTGATGATGTTGCTGATGATGCTGATGCTGATGCTGCTGATGATGATGCTGCTGCTGATGATGATGATGATGATGATGATACTGGTGATGGTGGTGATGATGATGATGATGATGATGATGATGATGATGATGATGATGATGATGATGATGATGATGATGATGATGCGGAGGAGGGGGAGGAGGGGGCGGGGTTGGGGAGGAGGGAAACTGGAGGCGGTGGTACCTTGGGAAGCACTGGGTGGGGCCGCGGGCGCAGCGCCTTTAGGGGCACCTCCCGCTCAAGGATGGCTGGGGCACAACCTACCTCCTGTCACGGAGGCCTCGTGCAGCAACGCCACGTTGCCGCTCGGTCCGAATGACTACCAGGGGGTGTCCTCTCATGAGACGTTCCCGTCTCCCCGCGTCAACCGCAGGAAGGCCAGTGGCTCCTGCCCCCGATGCCCGAGGAGCGAGCCCCCAGAGCAAGCAACATCTACAACTGGGATCCCCACCCAGGGCCATCCGTGCCTGGCGGACGTCACGTGACGCAGGAAGGGGGAATGGCCAACATGGAAGATCCCGCTCACCTCCGCCGGGGCCTCGCCCGTCCGAGCCAGCCCTGGCACCACCGCAGGGCGCAGAGGCGGGGCGATAGAACAAAAAACGGGAGGAGGCCCTCCCCAAGGTGCGGCACCCCCACCCCCACCCCAGCGCGGCTGCGTGACGCGGCCCTGCCTGTGGGGAAACATGGGGGAAGAGGATGCAGGGAGGCAACCACGGCGGCGGCGGCGACCATGAAGAGGTGCTTACCTGACAATCTTGCCGTCCACGCTTGAGCAGCCCAGGGTGCTGGGTGAACCCAACCCCGAGGAGGCTCGGAGGGTTCCCCGCGCATCTGGGGCCCGCAGCGCCACAGGAACAGGGGGGGCATAGGCAACAAACCCTCGCGCTGCACCCACCGCAGGGACGAGCGGATACGCTGCACCTCCTGACAGTTCGGGAGTGCGTCCCCCAACGGCCCCGCCTGCAAGTCCAGCGCGTGCCGCTCATGTCTCAACGCTGCCCAGCAACACCCTACGGCAGGTTCGTGTCGTGCCGACCCCAGAGTTGGTTTTTGACACCGCAGGGATCGTTCAACCTTGAACGATCGGCCGCTGCCGCAACGTCCGAGCGTTGAACATTGATCGATTCTGGGTCGCCGGCGGCGTTCAACCTTGAACGCCCGCGCTGGGGTCGCCGCTGGTCGACACGACGCAAACCTACCGTATCGGCCTCATCATCGCCTGCGGCTCCCAGGCCGCGTCCCTGAGGAAACTCAGCGGGTGCGGCCAGGGCGGATTCCGTGCCCCACGCCCTGGCCCGCCCCGCACAACCTCACATGTGAAGGGGCCCTGGGACACCATATTTTCCCATATTTTCTGGGGAATCGACGATTAATTGTGTCTGTGTGTTTTTTCCCCTCCTGAACATGTGCCAGCCCCCACAAACAGACACGTCAGGTACACAGGCGCGGCGCGCTGCATTAGGCACTAGGACGGAGGCGGACACCAGCTCTGGGAGACCTCTGCCCCCTGCACAACATCTTGCCGTCGCTCGGGCGTCCATTCCTCGTGCGCTCGTCGGCTTCGTGCGTGCGTGTGTGGCCGGATGATCCAGGATGCTCCTCGCTTGTCGGCTTCGTGCGTGCTTTTGTGGCCAGATGATCCAGGATGCTCCTCGATGGCTTTCGCCGAGGAAATATGCACACACACGTCCGAGCGATGCCAATCCATGCCCTGTCTGCCACCCGAGGGGTCATCAGCGCAGAGCGGGGGGCGAGAGGGCGGCGCCCGCCCCGCCACGCCTCACCTGGCTTGATCCTGCTCTGTGCGGGGAGGCGGGAGGCAGAGGAGGAGGGCAGGTGGAGGGGGGGGGGGCGGACCAGGGGCGGGAGGGGGAGGCGAGGGGGGGAGGGGGCGGACGGGAGAGCAGGGCAGAGTGGGGACGAGAGGGGGAGGGTGGATCGCGGGCCACTCGTCAAACACTGGCGGTTGCCTGACGCCGCGTCTGGCAACCGCTCCCCACCTCCCAGTGCGCAATCTGTGAAGCGTTGCCGGCTCCTGCCGCATAGAGTCGACAGCTTCTCCTCCGTGGTTGCTAGCTTCGCCTCATGGGGCTTGTCGGCCCATTTCGTGTCAAAGAAGCGTGGCCCCAGGAGGTTGGTCAGACGTCGGTGTCGACGATGACGCCTAACAAGCCGCCGAGGAGGTCGGTGCTGGCCAGGTAGTACGGCGAGTCGGCTGGAGAACTTGTGCCTGTATCGGGCGAAGTAGGCCGCCGCGGGACCGCCGGTCAGCACGGCGGCGCGTGCAGGTCCAGGTGGGCGCCGTAGGGTAGTACCGCCACATCCGCGGCGGACGTGAAACTGGAAGCGCTGCCCGGTGACTGCAGAAGGTCGTGCGTGGAGTCCTGGGTGCTTGTGCTGGCCGAGGAGGAGGAGGAGGAGGAGGAGGAGGAGGAGGAGGAGGAGGGGGAGGAGGGGGAGGAGGAGGAGGAGGAGGAGGAGGAGGAGGGGGAGGTATGAGGTTCTGCTGTGGTGGGGTCTCCTGAGGCACGTCGTCGCCCGGTGCCGAACGGACCGGCACCGCGGGCGCCGGGCCCGTCGGATGAGGGTCTACGGCACGGGCCGGCGCCATAGGCGCCGGACGCGTCGAAACATGATCTGCACCAATGAAGCGGAGGTCGGCGATGACGTTGACTGGGCCTCGGCACGCCAGGCCAGTGCACCGAGTGATCGGTGCTCTGCATCGGTTGCACATGGCATGTCTGGTGCAAGATGTGGCGGCGTTGTAGGCGTACTTCTCTCTCTCTCTCTCTCTCCCTCCGTGTAAGATCGAAACAACAAAGCACTCTCCGTCGTCGCCATAGGATTTGTACGGCTTTCTGTCCACCTCTGTGCGGCCTGGCGTCGCTGCTCGTCCTGTTGTCGCAAGAGCTCTAGCGCTGGCTGTGTGCTGTGGAGCTCGTCGAGGTGCCGTCGCTGCGTGTTGTCGAGAGAGGTGTGCACGCTGTGTTCGGATCGGCCGCCGCCCGACACCCAGGCCTCGCGGCCGGCGAACCACATGGCCACTCTCCCCGATGGCTGGCTCACGTTGATGGGTACGTTCTCGCCGAAGAAAGCCAGATCTTGGGATCCTCCGGCGCTGGCGGCTCCTCTGCTGCTAGTGCGGATTGTGGTGGCCACGTGGAGTTTGATCCATATGGCGCGCTGATGCCGAGAGCTGAGACTGATGGCGTGCAAACCCAGTTCGGCAACTGCACGTCGGCACGTGGGGTCAGAGGCGC